ACCTCATCTTGCCTCATGTCTGGAAAGCACTACGGGACGTATGTCAAGAGTTAGTAAAATACACCATGTTGTAGCCCTTTTTTATATCATCTAATTTATATAATATTGGTTTGATTTCCAAGAGAAGATGTTACTAATTAATCTAATAAATCTTTCTATTTTGCCATTAAAATACGTTTTAATTAAATCATTCAGGATCCTTTATGTAACTGTGTATTCTAGAAAGTTTGATTCTCTTTTTAAGTAGTAAAGGGAGATGTTTTGGTACCAGCAGTATTGTTTTATCCTTCAACCTATATCACAAAGAAGTTTATCTTTTTATATTATTGTTAACTGTTAAAAAGTTAGCCAATCAGTCTTAGTTTTAGGGTTTAATTTTTCTGTAATTATAAAAAGCAAAGCCAGATCTATGTTAATATAAAATGAAGGGCTAAAATAAAATCATTTTTAAAGAACTAAATTGTTTCTAATTTGAAACAATTTTTATACTTTCCTTATTTTCATTGATTTCCCAGAAATATTATTTGTCAAGAGGAAAATCAATTGTCCAGCTTCTGTCTCTAGAATGAGTTCTGCCAGTGTTTGTTAGCATGGCAGTTACTTCCATGTGGTCTGTAGATTTACCTCTAAGGTCACAGTTATAACAGGACTAATGCAATAGTTTAGTTTTATATTAAATTACAGCATAAATTCTAAGTCAACAACATACCAAATCATTATGAAGCTGTGTTAGGAATGGGAAGAAGTTGCTGTGTTTTCTTAACATAATGAGATAAAGACATAGTTCTCTATTCCAGATGCAGTTTCTAGGAAATAAGACATTTGCAAGTTTGTGTCCTACACTTTTGGTGGTGGATTAAATCAGAAACTTTAAGAAGTTTTGATTTATAAATTATCTTTGGAATTGTATTTTAAAAAAAAAGACCATGGTAGAAATAGAGCTAAAGTACATGCCTGCAATTCCAGCAACTCAGGAATCGAGACATGAGGATTACAAGTTGAAGGCCAGCCTCAGCAACTTAGTGAGACCTGTCTTAAAATAAAAAAGGCTGGGAATGTAGCTCAGTGTTAGAGCACTGCTGTGTTTAATACCAGTACCAAAAAAAAAAAAAAAGAATTAGAACTAAAATGTTGATGTTCAACGTAGAGTGAAGAGTGAAGGATGATCTCTTTGCGACCAGAAAAGGGATAGTATCTTCAGCATGATGTTCTAAGTATAAGTAGGAGAGGAATGCTTGGAGAAGCACCTTGAACAGTTTTTTAAAAAATGTAGAGTTCCAGGTGAATAATTCCACTCTTAACTTGCTAAGTTGAACTGGAGTCTGCCAGTCAGCTACCACAGGGGGAAACAGAATGATTTGCTAGCACCCAAAATACTATATATTAATATTGGAATGTCATGAGTTAGACTTTAGATGGATTTTAAGACTTTATTCTGACTTATTATCTTTGAAAAGAAGTATGTTCAATGTTATTTAAATAATAAAATAAATGTTATTAATAAGCATGTTAAAAAGAACAAGAAAGAAATCTCAAGATGGAAGGTGAAGCATCCTCTGAATGCTCAGGTTGCAGTCCACCACCAGTAAGCAGTGAAACCAAAGAGAACTCTGAAGATGGAGAGGAAGGAGGGAACAGCCCTGTTAATATAAAGCTAATTTGATCCATAAAGCTGCTGTACTGGAAACACTGTGGGGTTTGTGCATGGCTTAAACAAAACCATAGAAAATGATAAATACTCTGAAATGCACATACAAATGATGTATGATGAAAGACAATCTCAAATTTGTACCATTGTTTCTGTTTTTCCTTTTAATCAGCGGCCCTTGAATGGCTGGAGAGCTACCTAGATAGGCAGTGAAGCTGGACCCGTTACTCACAGGATTCAACAAGGCAAGTGTCAAATGGATCAGAGTGAAACACACAACCCCCTGAACCAAGTGCTAGAACAACTTGGCTGAAGTACCGTAAACTTTAGTGGAAATACCTTGCCACCTAGGATTCAAATTCTGGAGGCAAAAAGAAAAAAGCAAAGTAGTACAGAAAAACTATAAGGCTTAAACAAAAAATCTCCAATGGCCTAAAATACTATAAGGAAGGTAATAAGGAATTTAGATAAGTTCGAAATAGATTGATGACTTAAATATTGATCATTTAAAATAGTAACAGATTGGTAACCCTACTATTATTTAATGTTGATAAAAATGGAAGAGATTTGATGGCCCTATATAAAAATGGCCTATAGAGATTAGATCAATTTGTAGAAATAATAAATGCAAGTGGTTTAATCATGTGAATAAGTATTCAACTTTGTTCACGAGAAGAGAAAAAAAAAAAAAACTTCACCAAGAGTTTTTCATTTATTAGCTTGTCACAAAATCAGAAAACAATTAATGAAACTGAAAAAAAGAGGCACTTTAATGTATCTCTACAGAGAAACTAGCATAGAGACATTGCAATGGAAAATTTGAAAATGTCCAGCAAAATTTCATAGCATTTATCTTTTGACCAGTAATCCCAGGTTTACAAATATACCTCACATATATACTCACATGACAATTTTAAAAACATAAGTAAAGCTTTTCATTGCAGGAATTATTGGTTAGAGCAACTTAAATGTACATCAGTAGGGAGTTAGTTAAATTATATCACACAGCCACAATGTGTTACTATAAGGCAGTAATAAATGAATGAGGAATATGTATATATCCTAGTAGGAACTGATTTTAGCGAAAGTTTTTTTTTTTTTTTTTTTTTAATGTTTAGGATTACTTTATATCTCTTAACTTTAGAAAAATTAAACCAAATAAGGGAAAAAAAGAGAAATGAGAAATTTTTACAAAATGGCAACTTCTATGACATAAAAGAGTACTGAAATGTCTTCACTTAATTCAGTAATAACTAAACCACTTCTGGAATGAATATCTGGATAAAGAGTTTAGGTTAGGAAAGAAGGACTCTTCTCAATGCTCAGGTCAAAATAACAAGGTGCGTAGAAAGAAATAATTTCTACATTGTATTAGGAAAGACAGACTTTGAAAGAGAGTGACTGTTTATAAACCCTGAACCAAATTTAGCCAGAATAGTCAAGATTGGCAGATTTTGATGGAGTAAAATCTTCAGTAGGAACAAAATTAAAAGTTATAATCCTATGGATGCCACTTATTTTTTACCAATGTGAAGAAAGGAAACATGATTGCAAGGTATAATACACACTGACAGGCTAAAATGAAATTATGAACAACTGAAATAACCAAAGTGTCCCCTACTGAAGCACAAAAAACATGATTAGAAGAAAAAAGTTTTAGTTCTGTGGCCTGTTCAATTGCTCTTTACATAAAATATTTCCTCTGTCTTGAAAAAGGAAATGGCTTCTGAATGGCGCTGACTCCTTTAGTATGGGAAGAAGCAGGAAAACGTGCTTTGTAGAATGGCTTGACAAGCTCATTTCCAAGACCCCATCAAGGTTAAAGTATCTCCAAATCTACATGCCGAACTTCAGGATTTCGTTTTTTCAGTTCCTTCTCAAGTCTATCTACTTCAGCTCCTAATGTATCAATAATATTTTCTCCATGTTTAAGCATAAAGGTCTCTAGCTCTTCAGGAGTTTTCACTTCTTGAATTTCTTGTAGCATTTGGTCAAAATCTTGTTTTTCCAAATATGATCTTGTAACAACTCGTCCATCAAAATCTACTTCTGCCTTAAATCTTACTTTACCTAATCCCAGATCTGTGGCTTTAACATCATGAATTGCCCTTACTGATGGGTCATTCTCCAGGAGTTCAGTAAGCCGCTGAACTTGCTCTGGTTGTATGGATCGTCCCAAGAGTGCTTCTGTGTTGGTGTAGATGAGGAATGCTGAGACCACGCCTAATAAGGTGCCCACACCCAACGAACCTAGGCTGTCATACAATGGATTGCCTGTTATAGAAGTAAGACCCATGCAAGTGGCTGCTATTGTCACTCCCAAGACTGCTGCAGTATCCTCCAATAATATAACATTTGTACTAGGATCACGACTTTCCATTACATATTTATAAAATGACATTCCTTTGGCCTGAGCACTCCTACGAAGTTCATTTACTGCAACAAGAAGTGTTGCTCCTTCAGATATCAATGATCCTGCTAAAATACAATATGCCCATAGAAGGGATTCCATTGGTTGAGGATGAAGCAATCCCATAACTCCATGGTACCAAGAGAGTCCTGCACCCATCATGAAAATACCAACACCACTAATTAGTGAAGAAATATAGCGCATGTTTGAAAATCCATACGGATGAGTAGAATCTGGTGTTTGAACAGACTTACTGATGCCCAATGCTAGTAAACCCTGGTTACAAGTATCAGATAATGAGTGTATAGCTTCTGAAAACATACTTGCTGAACCCGTATAAATCCAGGCAAGGAATTTAAAGAAGCAGTTTAAACCATTGATGCAAATGGCAACCATCACCACTTTTCCTGGTCCCTTAAAGAACACTGATGCTGTTCTGGAACGTGGCTTGGTGTTTCCCAAGAAATCTCTATATTCTTTTAATATCTTTTGATTTCTAAACAGCCGTTCTCTGTATTCGATTTCTGCTTCCTTACGAAGTTTCTTCTCTCTGGCAAGAGCTTCAGGGCTTCCCCAAACTTCCAAGGATTTTGCCTCCACGTCTGATCTCAAGTACACAGTAAAGGACTCAGTATCTTCATGGGGACTTCGTCGTCTGATTTTTCGGAGCTGTTCTAGATCACTGGGCTTAAGGCAGAACTCATTCATTGCTCTGACTCCAGTGATGAAATTATTCTGAGTGTATTTTGATCCATATTCCCTTTTTTTAAGGACTGCTTTGACTCTTACTTGGAGAGGTTCTTGCTTAAGTGGGGCTTTGAGTTCTGCGCCAATATTTTCTGCTGATTCATCTAATGATGGTACTTTTTCCACTCTGAGAGTTTGTGATCCCTGTCCTTCTTTCTGAACATTTGTAGAGTACAACTTTACTTGACTCAGTACACAAATATGTGGGTGACTATAGGGAACCATGTATGCAAAACTTCCAGTTGTCACTAAATTCCGCCATTCGTGGCGGTCGCTGGAGCCACGGGCCGCTGCCGGGCAGCGCAGATGAAGCCGGCAGAAAGAGGACCAGCTACATCTGCAGGCCGCAGCGGCGGCGGCCAAGCCCGGTAACATCCTGGCGGGGCAGAGGCCCCTACTCGGACACCGCCTCCTGCCTCGGCGCCGCCGCCAGCACCAACTGCCTCCATAGACTGGACACCAGCAAACACGGATGCCTGCGCCGCCGAAGGCGGCCTCTTAGCGAAAGTTTTTACTAAAAAAAAGCAAGGCAAAAAGAATGTATAGTATGGTGCACTGTATCTCTTTAAAAAATGTAATTTAGTGTGTTTTTTTTGTGTGTACATTTCATATTAACAAAAAAAAATATTTAAAAAATTGATATCCATAAATAAAGGAAGTATTAGGAATGAGGACACTAGACACCTTCATTTTGATTTTTAAATTATGAAAATATTTGATGTAATAAAAAAATCAATTGTGTATATTTTTAATTTTAAGAAATTGTGTGTGTGTGTGTGTGTTTCTGGGGATCACAAGACGGCTTTTCTCATGCTGAGCATGTGCTCTGGTCACTAATCCACAACCAACCCACTTAAGAAACCTGAATGAATTGACACAAATGAACCCCACAGGGTATGTTAATTATGATATGTCCACACAGAGAGAAACTACTATGAGGCTTTAAAGGTTTACCATGACTAACAAGATAAACAGGACAAAAGGACAAGGAGAGGTAGGGAAATAAATTGAATTATCTTGCAAATCATATAGTTGGTAGCAATGTTTATGTTATAATTCTGATATCATTCTATGTGTGATAAGAGGTAAATTAAATAGATACCTCTGTGGTATTCTGTCACAACCAACACCTTTGAGAACCAGGATTCTCAGTGCAGGAGTAAGACAGATGTAAGGTAGAAGAGACTCATCAAAATCTCCATGGTCCTGAATTTGAATTAAAAATATAATTATGACACATCATATTTCTTATCTTTTATTCAAAGAAACAGAATAGCTAGTTTGAGAAATGGCTGATTCAGTTCTAGGTAGGAAATAAACAAATTGAGCCTGAAACATTTTGTTATATCAGATATTTAAGAAGAAAAAGACTCATAAAGCTCAACAAAGAAAGCTCAGGAGACAACCTAAGAGATTCCTATTGACCAAAAATGAGAAAATTTGAATACTGATGAGAAAAATAACTAAAATGACAGAAACATAAAGTGTGTCATTTTCATATGATTCCAAGTACACTTTTTATAAGTGATGGTCAACTACTGTTTTGAAAGATGGTAAATAAATAAAAAGTGGCAAATAAGTTCTACCATCGAAAGCCAAATAAAAAAATGAAGGGAGTTTTTTACTTTTTGAAGTAATCTAATTATTAAATGATGGAGGGGATCCCACAATTTCCCAGCTCATAATGAATTAATGAATCAAATTGTAAACAGCTCCTTGCACCATGAAAATAGATGTAGTAGCCACACAGTGCCTGATTCATGATGGAAGGACACCATAGCCCCACCGAAGTAGTCTTACTTAAAAAAAAAAAAAAAAAAAATTGAACCTATATGTAATTAAGTTTCTAGATCCAATTATCAAGACAGACAAAAGAGAAGACAGAAGAACATCATTAAAGAACAATCAGCAAAATCTAGATAGTTGGAATCTCCCCTGTATAAATAATCTAATTTCTTCCATAAATAAGTTGCCAGGGGGAAAGTGTTAGAAAGAAAATTTATAGATAATGGATGCATAAACCAATTGCAATTTGTGGCCCTTTTCTGATTCAGATTCCAGTAGCAAATGGCAAGACATTTAAAAAACAGTAAATTAAAAATACAGTGATAACACATGTCAAATAGATGGGGTATTAAGGAATTACTGTTAATTATTTTTAGGCAATGTTATTGAATTTGATTTTCAAAATATCTTTAAGAGCTATAATAAGAAGAAATAATATGATTAATAGGATTGCTACAAAATAACAAAGGAGAAACTAGAAAACATTAGCCATAGGAAAGTAGTTGTATATGTTAGTGGTTACATGGGGTTCATTATACCTGAAGTTTATATGTGTTTGCAATTCTCCTTTTTAAAAAACTTAGAGTAACATGTTTGGTGGTCTTGAAGGACAAATGGAACCTGTTTTAGAGATTAAGGAAGTTTCTTAGTGAGGGGTAAAGGGCTAAAGCAAGCACAGTTCAGAAAACAGGCTGTTGCTTGGAATTTTAAAGAGCAGAGAAAACATAAGGCTGGAGTGTTGGGCAAAGGTCAGGTCTTGAGGATCCTGTATCCTACAACAGAAGTTTACTTTATTGTGAGGGGATTAGGGGGCCATTAAAAAGTTTTGAGTAGGAGACCAAAACCATTGAAATGGAGTTGAGAAAGTTCAGGAAGAAATTGTGGGAAAGATTGATTGAAGTGAGAACAGACAGCAGTAGACATAGGAGTTAGAAGCCTCGCATAGTAGCACTATAGGGGAATTGTTTTAAAAATATATTGATAGGACTTAGTGATTGTAAATAAGAGTTGGGAAATAAAATTCCAGGACTACTTTCAAATTTTTGTTTTAACCAGTATAGATAGAGATGTAACTAAATTAAAACAGGATAATTTTTCTGGGTTCTGAGACTCTCCTCATGAGAGCTAAAACAAAAACAATCTATCAAGAATGGAGCAGTTTAGACACCACTGTCCAAGTGATATGAAAATCAGTCATCACTGAGCTTGGTTCTTTGAGTCATACACACAGTTCTCTATGTGATGGTAAACAGACATTCACATGTTCTCAGCCACAGTTCTCAAATTTTTGAGAGTACAGATAGGATCCCGAATCTTGAAGGGTCCAGGAAAAGAGAAAGGGGAAGTCCACAGGATGTATATTAACGTTACATTCAGATAGAAAGCATATCATTTATATCAAAACGGATGTTGATGATTTCATAAGCTAATAGAAACAGAGGGATGCTAAAGCCCAAGCCAATACTCATTCCTGCCATTTGTCATCAGGCCTCCTATTTGCTTCAATTCATTGACTGTGAGAAGACAGGGATCTGGGGCTTTCATCAGTAGTGCCAACTGACGTGCCGTGGCTCACCAAAATCACAACACAGGCTAACAAACCTACAGATATGAAACCTGTCCCTCCACAAACTTGTTGGGCGTCAGTATCATTCATAGTTCATGAGTGATCTAGATTTTTGAAGTTAGTTTAATGGCATATTTAATACAAATTTTTATTTGGAAGCTTATGTGGAATAGTCATAATAAGCTCCACTTTCCATTGGTAATCTATTAAATGGTAAGGAGTTTCTGTACAGAGAAAAACAACTGGTATCTTTTCTGGTTCCCTGTTATTGACAGTACAAAGAGCAGAAAGTATTGTTTGACTAAGCAGCACAATTACAAATAGAGACATTTACATCCGTGACTAATGATCAGACACCTAAAATGGCTTGCACTGCCAAATATTTACTTTTGCCTTCAAAATAAAATGTTTTATAAACATAGGGCTGGGTATGTGACTCAGTGGTAGAGCAAATGCTTAGCATGCAAGAGGCCCTGAGATCTCTATCCCTTAGCACCAAGTTAAAAAAAACAATCACTACAAACCTAGCTTAATGAAAAGTTCTCAAAGCTTCTCTCTTCTTGCAGTTCATCATGTTTGGAGTATCTTCCTCCTACACTTTTTGATAGTCTCTTTTACAAGTGACTCATTCCAGTGAGGTTGTTTTTTTTTATTTATTTATAATTACATTTGACGAGATTCTACTGTTAAAAAAAAATCATAAATGTGAAGTTCCATGCCCAAGCAGGAAGCAAATATATTTCTTCAAAAAATAAAATAAAATTCAAACCATTCCCCCTGTCAAGGTGTTAATTTTTATTAGAGCAAGTATTTGATCTACTCCAGATGTAACTTTCTGTGGTCCAATAAATACGATAGTGTGGCTTTCAAAAGCCTTTAATTAATGTTAATTTCATATCTTTTATGTCATGATTGAAAGTTACAAAAAAAATACTCCCTGTTCCCTGGTAACTATTTGCTAAAATTGAAAGACAGATACACACACACACACAAACACACACACACAAACACACAAACACAAGCACACCATACAAAATATTGTGAAATTATTACAAACATTTGGTTTTCATTTTCATTTTGCATAAATAAATGTTTTAACATGTAAGAAGAATATTTGAAGCACTTAGCTAGAAAATTTAATGCACAAGAAAACTATTCTATTTCTATTAATAAAAAGATATAACCACAACATTTTTTAAGCTTTGATTAAACTCCTAAAGTCATATGAATTTCTCTTTCATTTACTGAGAAGTATTTAGAGAATTTTATACTGATAAGGTTCTAAGAATTGCTAAGGACAAAGCTTGTATATTAAAAGCATCATTGAATAACTATCTCTGGATTCAGCAAAAATATAGTCTAGTATTGACTATCTGATATGTGGCATTTTATTTTGCAATCAAAAAATACAGTCATTATTATAATATACTGAGTAATATGTTGGGTCCTATGATGGTGAGAAAATAAGGTTCAATTTCTATAGGCTTATTCTTTTGACATATTTATGTATGAATGTTCTACTGTACACTTCAAACTTTAAAAAAATATAAATACTATAAGATTTCTTCACGGCTCATTTTCCTCTTGTTTTAGGCTTAAGGGCTGCTGCATGTCAGCTCTGTACCAAGCTGCTGTTGCTAGGATCTATCTGTTTCCATAGCAATAGATGAACTCTTCAGATGCATCTAGAATTCCTCCTCATCTTGGCTATGCCAGTATCCCTTGTCCATATGTAAATCAGCATCCAAATCTCCAAATGCAACAGAATTTTTCAATGATACCATACAGCATTTAATATCCATACACGTGCAGTATTGTACAGTATTGATTTTTTCCCTTTAAACACTGCACTGTTTTAGCAAAATGTTTAGGTTGTACAAAAATTCCTATGACCTGAGGATTAACACCCTGCCAAGTTAATAAAGATCAGAAATGTTTTCTGCTAATGCACTCTTCGGAAAGAGCAATTATTAAGAGAAAACAATGGTGCAAATTGCCAACTTTCTTTCCTTCCTTTATCATTTTATCCCCCTCCCCTACGTTATTCCAAACATCCAGTATAAAACCAAGAAGATGCAACAAAGTAATGGGCACTATACTTCACAAGGATTTGCACCATTCTCTTTTGGACTGAAGCCCAAATTTCAAGTAT